ACACCCCCAAGAAACATTGTCTTCACAAGAGAGTGACACTTTCTGTGATTTTTTACTTTCATTTTTGTCATTATCCTTCATATTCAATTTGGCTGAACTTAGTCTGTCCTTACCGTAAAGATTAACCAAGAAAAGAGACATTGAGAACAAAGTGCATAGATATCTTTAAGATTGTATTTTTTTTTACCGACCATTAATTAGTTCGTATGAAGTTGCAAAATGTTCAGATAGTGGTAGAAGTTTGTTTTGCCACAACAGCATTTGCACAATTTTTTTTCTAAACAGTTTCGAATTAGCATGCACATGTACACTTACTGTTCACAAAAAAAAGTTCAGTGTCAATCGCTGTACTTCCTTAATATTTAGCAAATGAAATGTGCATAATGTGAGATGTGTACCTGTTGGAAGTTTCTGATATTATTTGATATCATTACATACAATCTGTAGGTTAGGACACAATTTGGCACTTTACTGGACTCAACAGTACATTGTGATGTCTTAAAAGTTCCTTTGATCTTTAATTGCTTTTGTGGTTGTCAGCAACAGGTCTGACAAACATGCAAGTAAGTATGGCACTATTATTATTACCATCGTCTTTATTAATTTTGTCATCGTCATCATCATCATCATCATCATCATCATCGTCATCATCATCGTCATCATCATCGTCATCATCATCGTCATCATCATCGTCATCATCATCATCATCATCATCATCATCATCATCATCATCATCATCATCATCATCATCATCATCAATCATCATCATCATCATCAATCATCATCATCATAAGGGTACTAGTAATGATAATAATAATAATGATGATCATGGTAATAATAATGATAAAAAATCATGATAATAATAATAATAATAGTAATGATAACAATAATAATAATAATAATAATGATAACAATAATAATAATAATAATAATAATAATAATGATAATAATAATAATAATAATGATAATAAAGAGGAAAACAAGCAAGCTATATAGTATGTTATCTGAAAGCTCAAATGGATGGTAAGAGAGATTATAGACAAAGGATAAACCAGGAGTGGAAAAATCTTGGAATGTTTGAAATCTCAGAACAGCAAATAGCATGTCATCAGAAGCACACTTAAAACCCAAAACTTTGCTACATTAGAATTGGAAGATTCAAAAAAGAAATTAAACAATAGAGTGCAACAGGTAAGTTTAGATAAACAGCAAATGCCTATGGAAAGTATGGAGGAAAGAGACGAATACGAAATAGAGCAAATTGAATCCAGTGTGAGAGATAGTGAGATTGAAATTGAGTTTGCAGAGGCAAGACGACAATGAATTGGTAAGCAGATTGAAGGAAATTCTCAAATAGATCTCAATAATGTACCATCATTGAGAGCAATTGATAGTGTTACAGTTAAAACCAAGACTAGGAAAATTAATGAAATTCTGATCAATATAAGATTGAGCAACATTGATGACATACATGTGATCAAAGAAGCAGCTATACTTGTCAATGAAAGAGTTGATTTAAAGAGAAAGAGAAAAAAGCAAAAGGACCCTTTTTGGAAGAGGCATATTGAAAATGACATTGGCAAACTCAGGAAAGACCTCAGCCGTATAGAAGCATGGTTCAAAGGAAATTAGCAGTAAAAGCTTGATCTGAAAAAAAGAAATAGTCTTAAAGCCAAGGGACTGTCATGGAAGAACTGAGGCAGAGAATCTCTGCCTAGAAAGAAAAGAAAAAAGATTTGTCTCATGTGATCTTTTTTTATACTGAGTATAGGCAGAATAGATTAATTAGAAATAATCAAAAGGTGTTGTACAAAGAACTTGGTGGGAAGATGAAAAGAGAATAAGTAGCACCTTATGCACAGGCATCTAGAGAGTTTTGAAGCAACTTATGGGAGAATCCAGTTTAGCATAATGAAAGGGCAAAATGGCTAAAGCAAGTTGAACAGGAGATGAAAAAGGTGCTAAAATACAAGGACATAAGTATTACTAAAGAAGATGTAAGTAGCTACATAAGGAAAATGCCCAACTGGAAGTCCCCTGGTTTGGATGGAATTCCAAGGTTTTTCGGTTGAAGAGGCTCGCTAGCCTGCATGAAATGATAGCCTGGGAACTTAATAGATGCTTGGTGACTGGAAAGTTACTCTTTTGGATGGTTGAGAGCAGGACTGTATTGATTCAAAATGATCCAAGCAAAGCAAATGCAGTTGGAAACTACCAACCAATTTAATGCCTTAACTCTCGTGTTACAAAAATTAAATTAGGGGTATTATTTTGGGAAATGAAAGACTAGATTAAACTATTTACTATTTATGGATGGCCTGAAATTGTATGGAAGAAGTGAAAGTGATATCAACTCACTCATGAGGACAACCAAGTTACAGAGGATATAGGGATGTCGTTTGACATTGATTAATGTGGAGTTTTAGTCTTTCAAAAGGGAAAAAGAATGCAGATGTGAAGGAACTAATACATCCCAACAGGAAGTAAGGGAAAAAACAGAGAAAGAATATATTAATAGAGTGAGTGCAACTTTAAAGTCCAAGTTGAATGGAGGGAATGTTATCAAGGCAATTAACATGGGCTGTGGCAACAGTAAGGTATGGTGCAGGTGTGATTAACTAGACCATCAAAGTCTTAAAAAGAATGGACAGAAAAAACAAAGTTATTAATATTGCATGGTGGCTTTCATGCCCAATAAAATGTTGGAATTCTTTATATCCCTAGAAATTTAGGAGGTAGAGGACTCACAAGTGTTCGAGATTGTGTTGAGGAGGAAGTTCTAAGTATTGGCAACTACATCATTGAAAGCCCTTAGAAACTACTTAAAGTTGTAGAAAAAGAACTTTAATTTCTGAAAAGACTAACAATGGTGCTGGTCAAGGAAAGAAAGAAGGATAGACAAAGGGAGTGGAAGGAAAGGACATTACATGAGCAATTTCTCTGTGAGAAAGCAGAGTATACAAACGGGAAAAGATGGGAATGGCTAAGAGGAGGATAGTTAAAATGAGGAACGGAAAGTTTGATATGTGCTGCACAAGAGCAGGCCCTAAGGACTAACTCGGTAGCATATAGCATAGACAAAACAAGTACCACACCATTATGCTGCCTTTGTAAAGAGAAAACAGAAAGTGTTAACCATGTTTTGAGTGCGTGCTCTAATCTTGCAAAGAATCAGTATCAAAAACAACATGACAAGTTAGGTAAGAAAATACATTGGTTGCTGTGCAAAAAGTTCTTGATAGACTGCAATGAGAAGTGGTTCGTTCTTACATGAACCAGAGCCAGTGCAAGAGGACGAAAGATGTAAGATCCTGTGGGACTTGACAGTACAAACTGATAATGTGCTAGAATACTGGAGCCTTGACATTATCATTCTAGATAAGGTGAAAAGAGATTGCATTATTATTGACCTTGTAGTAACAGGAGATCTAAACATAACCATCAAAGAGCAAGAAATCCCGAGACCTTTATTTAGAGATTGAAAAACAATGGGATGTTAAAGTAGTTGTAGCACCAATAGTGGTAGGTGTACTGGGAACAGTTTCCAAAGAGCTGGAAAACCATCTAAAACAAATCAATATTCCTCTTGTAGTTCCATGCTTGCGGAAGGCAGCATTACTAGGTACAGCACTCATCTTGAGGAGAGTGCTTGGCATCTCAGGGTTTGTTGCTCTAATAGGGTTTTACAACGTATAATATTGGTCAAAAGAATAACCTTTCTCCAGTCAGACGGGAATCATACGAAGCTTTTCTCATTGTGGCCGGGCCGTCAGAGCGATGACTCAGTGCTCTTCACCAATGGAGAGCAAGAATGCTTAACTCTATGGGGCCACATAGCCATTTTTCACACTCAGACTCCCTTGAAAGTCGAAAAACAAGTACATTGTGGTGTAAAAATATGCATATAAGGTATATAAGTACATATAGATAATTTTCGTGTACCCCATGACCTTTTGTTTATTTATATTGTTACTTCTGTTTATTTCTTTGTTTGTTTGTTGATTGTTTATTTGTTGTTGTTTTTTTTTTTGTTTCTTTGTGTTTTCTAATATTTCTAAAAGTTATGAACACATTTTAATGAGATTTCAACCAAAGGTGTGTTTTAACCTAACTTAGACGCTTATTGTACTTCAGTGGTGATGCGGACCATGGTTAGGATCCAGGATTTTTTTTTTTTTTTTTCTAACTCGAAAAGTTATGAACAGACTTGAATAAAATGTTTACCTGTGGTTTGTCTTGGCCTAATTGATATTCCATAAAATTTTGGTGGTGATCCGGAACATTTGGAGGTTTGCATTTTCGAAATGTTTTGCTCATAGATCAAACCAACTATGTATGATGAAAACAAAGAAAATAAAATACTCCATATGAACTGCATATCATGTTTATTTGTATGAAAAATTTCATTATCATTTTTTGGATGCTTGCCAGATTTTAAAAATTATTCCGAAAAAATAAAGGTTGGTCTCATTTCATGTGAAATTTAATAAGCTTTCAGAAAATAATTTCATTTTTTATTATCTCTAATCATTGTGTCACAATTGCCAATTTTCTAAGGTAATGTGAAAAAAATATTTCAGTCGACATCGAAAATGGCTGCTACCACTTAAAAAATAACGGTCAGGTCTTGAAATTTTCAGGGGAGAACCAGGGGCCTAGGAACTACTTGAAAATGCATTTAACTCAATTTCAGCAAGATGGGTGAAAATTGGCGAAAATTGCCCCCCCCCCCCAAAAAAAAAAAAAAAAAAAAAAAAAAAAGACGATCCCCTCAAAGGTCAAAATCTGCTCCAAGCATATTCTTGCTTAATAAAGCTTATAGACTTCCTCGGCAAGTTATGGGCAGATAAGAAACCAGTCTAAACTTTATCTTTTATAAGTTAAGGTTTGTCAAACTTTGAAGGAGTTTGAAGGTCTTGGCATTACTTGATGTAGTCCTGTTGTCCCATAAACTCTATATAGTTTTTAGATATATCTACATAATAACTTTTTCTTCACAGGGCTGACTTGGTTGTTGGTCTACAGAACTGAAAAATACCAAAAACTAAAGGCAGAGGTAGAACGGCAGTGCAAGCGTTGTAAGTATTGTGTATTTGTTATTAAGTAGAACTTGATAGAATCTTATAAATAAACATCATGATGATTGAAGAAGCAAAATTGATAATTATTTCTTTCTCTTTCATACAGTAGAGAAAAAGAAAGATGCCCATGGAGACAGCATGGATCGTCAGCAGAAAAGAAAAATTGAACGAGAGGAAGAACGGCTAAAGAACAGTAACAGAGACCTCTCTTTAGTGAAGATGAAAAGCATGTTTGCCATTGGGTTTGCCTTCACAGCTCTACTTTCTATGTTTAACTCAATGTAAGTGAAATTATTAAAACTCTACATTCATGGTCACAGTTTCCTGTGTTCTGAGTCTAAGGCTTAAACAGACCAAAATTCACCTGAGGGAAACATTATCTATGTACTAGGAACTAAATATTATATATTATATATATATAATATGTAGTGTCTGTACTGAGATAGAGGTGCAGGAGTCTTATCACCTACTACGATGATCGATCAGTAGTGTTGGCTTGTACAACACAGGTGGAAGAAGAGGTAGGAGACGACGATATGGTGAGACTATTCGATTTTAGTTAGTGACTCTCGATGTGGACTAATATTTCTCATTATTGTGGGTTAGGCGCTACTTTGTACGCTGATTTCCTAGCGCTAAGTATGCGCGGCTTGTTAGCACGTTGGGTGCTGAGATGGAAATGGTGTTTTAGCTCGCGAGGGATAGTAAGAGACTTGTGGGTGTATGCTTGTTGATGATATATGCTCTATGGATATGTTTTACTGATGTGTAATCAACTGTCGCGACTTGTAGTGTGTGAGATAGAGTCTCTGTAATTTCATTACATTGAGTTTTAAACATAAGAAATGTAGAGCTGTGAGGCACACCAATGGCACATGCTTTTCATCTTCACTAAGAGAGGTTCTGTTACTGTTCTTTAGCCGTTCTTACTCTCGTTTCAATTTTTTCTTTCTGCTGACACGATCCATTGCTGTCCTTCATGGGCATCTTTCTTTTTCTCTACTGTA